ACTTCTAAAAGGCTATGAAAGATTAGTTTTCTGTATATATTCTCCATGTTTTAGAGCAGGGGTGTCAAACTTGCCACGTCACGTGATGTGTCGTGACGTATCGTGACTTTTTTTGCATTGATGGAGCTGGAGTGGGCGCGGCCTCCTTATGATGCAACTGGCCCGCAGGCCGGCAGTTTGATACCCCTGTTTTAGAGGGCTAGCCTCCACAGGTCTACTTAGGAGTAAGGTCCATGGATTTTGATAGGACTTACCACCAGCTAAGTGGGATATATGGATCTTTATAGCAACAATCCAATGGCGCAGACAATGGAATATAATCAAAATTACCTGATTTTCCTGCAAGCAAAGCCAAATAAATAAAAAAAATAGATTAGCAAGCATTTAGGAATTTGGCAATAAAAGCCACAAAATGACTTCCATCTGATTGTAAATGATAAAGATTAAATGCAGGATAATGCCAGGGAAGAGGGGAGTACTGAAGAAGTCCTTTCCAAAACTTAAAATAGATCAGTAGATCACACTTCTTTCATTTTAAATGCATGTTTCTTGCACCAGTCTTCGGTTTGTGGATCTAGGAAGGGAAAGGAAAGATCCTATCCATGTGTGGGTTATTTAGAGTACTCATCACATGAGCCCTCTGGAAAAATCCTGTCTTTCATTAGGTTCACTCAAGCAACATTAACTTTCATAAGGCAAATTTCCATTCATTGCAACTACCTGCAAGCGAGCAAAGATTTTGTATATACAAATAAATGTATATATACTTCCACATGGGTCAGGATGTTTAGACCCACATGGGTCAGGATGTTTAAACTAAGCTAAGATGTATTTTGAAAGCATAAAACCCACCTAGCACATATTATAGTAGTATCCTTAATTCAATTATGGGCATCTGAAATCCCAGGACCACAAAAAACCTTAAGATCCTTTTTTTGTGGGCTCAGACTGCTCAGCCATCATTGCTGAAAATTGTCAGCATCATTTCCACCTTAAGCTGGGAAACAGGCGAGAATTATACTATTGATTGATTGATTGATTGATCGATCGATCAATCGATCGATTGATCAATTGATTTAACTTCTATGCTACCCATCTCACATAAAAGTGACTTTATATGGCTTATAATCAGTAAAAACAAGGCAAAACATTAAAACTATAAAATAATAAATAGTAACACCAAAACTGTCTTTAAAATTAGCCAATATGGCAAAGAAGGCAACAAGATGCACACAGGGAGGAAATGGGGTCTTATCTTAGTCCATTAACCACTTCCAGAATGACATACTCCCACTGGAGCCCCAGGCCAATTGGCAGAGCCAGGACTTTAGGCCCTTTTGGAAGGCCAAAAGGGTGCAGATCTCACCTTAGGGTTCCAAAAGGCAGGAGCCATGACAGAAAAGGTGTTCTCCTGGACCCCACCAGCCAGAATTCCTTGACCCACAGGGTCTGTAGCATGTCCCTTCTGCCAGCACAGGTGGGGTGGGGTCAATACCATTAGGGTGAGACAGTTCCTCATTATGTATTATATAAATATAATATTATATCCTCTAAAACAAAAACAAAGCCCATTCCAATTCTAACCTAAACTCCTTTTGCTACCAAAAAGCTTCTATCTGGGCTTTAGTTAATATAAATCAGGCTATTTATTGCTGCAAAGCCTCCCACACCTGGACAAGACTGTGGAAGTAAAAGTGGCATGGATGTCAGACAGATCTCTTAAATGCTAGTCTGTTATAAAACCAGATTCTTGAAAACTCAAAGAGCTCACGCCAAGCTAGAGTTACAATAAGTAAATTAAGAGAGGCTCTCTTTAAAATGCCATCTTCTCACATCTGGATTATGTTGTCTCTTTCACTTAGACTACAGTTCTCTTCTGTTTCCTTCCCACAGTTTCTAGTATCTGTTTGCTCTCTCTCTACCACCAAAACAGAATGATGGTTATATGGATGCCTAACCAGACTTGAAGAATTAAAACCAACTCATGCATTCAGAGAACCCTGAAGAATATAAAGACATTATCAATATTCCAACTTAAGGGAGAACCACTAGAATCTTTCTCCTAAACCGGAAGAAAACAATACCAATATGAAACCTTTCCCCATTACCGATCCTTACCCTGCCTTTATTTCTTCTGTTTGAAGTCCCTATATTAATTTGACTTCTTTCTGAAGTAAGATAAAGTGTACCAAATGTTACATGTTTTGAGACTACATTGGATCATTGTTGGAGACCAATCATTCCAGTTGGGAGGGCTTAAACAGGAAATTATTTGGAATCATTATGTAAAAACAAGAGGGCAAGGTCATCCCCATTCCCAAATGCCTTTGAACCATACCTAAACTTTTCCTAGGTGAAAGCTATCAGTCCGGGTTGATTCCTGTGAAATAGGCATTGAACAATAAAGTAGTTACATTCAAACTCTTTACATGTGGGCCTGGTTGTTTGCACCCTACAGTCATGTCGTAATAAGGAGGAACACCTTATTTGAATGCTACTACAGTTAAGAATGACTTAAGCCAGTCTCACTCGTGGGCTAGGGATGAAGTAAAGATAACATACTGGGGACATAGTAGGAAAAAAGAAGATTCTGCCAAGGTATGTTTGTGCTGTGACTGGGTCGAAGTGAGGAAAGTATGTTTTAACAGTATGGCTAATATATGCCCTAGTTTTACTGAACTTAATAAAAATAACACAATACTATTACTATGAAGCTTAAAATGTATGTGCTATATATTATGTAATATTATGTTCTTGTCTTGGTTTTGTACTATTATTTATAATATGCATAATAGCTTTTTTTGTAGTTATATCTTGTTCATATTTTAACCTGGACCTGTAAAAGTGGCTGCTTATATTTCATGCTTGTTATGCTAATGAGCTTTATTTAGCAGGAAAAGGCTTATCATTTTGTATTTTATCCTCTTGATAAAATACAGTAAAGTAACACTTCCAACTGCAGAACAGCACTATATATCATTAGATCCACATGCGTACTGGAACAACTGTTTCACTTTCCTCATTTGGGGAGGGTTAATCCAATTTCTTACAGAAAATATTTCCTACTTCTTGGTAAATAAATAAAGAAAAATGCTTGGTTTATGTATCCTGTAGCACAATAATCCTCTTTTACTAATGACTAACTCCTCCAGTCCATTGAACCAAGGTTTATTATAATTTCCTTACTCTCACTAATCCATTTCATTCCCATCAAATAATAATGTTAATTCATAATACAAGATATAATAATTGCCTGTCATAATTAAGCTTTAGTTAATTAATCCATTAATTAAACTGATTGTGAGTCTCAGAGGTATATAGAGGTGTCATGCTTTAAATGAGGAGTGTGTATCTGCAAGGTTTAAGGCATCCATTTTGCTCTTTAAACTCAAGACTTCAATAATCCATCATTCAACAACTTTAACACCATGAAACAACAAAATCTGCCTAGCCCAGGTCCTTGGGAAGGACTTAATAGGTTGATAAAATGCCAAATCCAGCCTAAATATCTGGCTGACTGTGTGACCAATCACAATAACAACAAATAACCATACCTACAACCCGATGTAACTACTACCTCCCTTTCTAATAATTGCATCTTACTTCTTACATGTCTTAGAAGCTTCTTCTAAATTCTGGAAGCCTAGAAACCTACAAATGATGGGAACATTAGTAGAGCTTCTGTATAAATCTAAGCTTAGTTGAAAATCAGTTCAAATGTTTGCACTGAGAATGGGATTGGAGAAATCCAAGCTGATGGGTAAAAAGGCATTGGCAATTGGGATGATCCATATCTCTATTCTCCCATTTACTTTAGGCACACTTGAACTCAGGACAAATGCCTCATCCAGAATTAAAACGGAATTGTTTGTTCTCCTTTTATTTGCCTCATTGGTGTAGGTGCCTGAAGATCAAATGAAAGTAATGAGAAAAAAAATTGGAAGAATTGGTTTCGTAATTCAAAGAAAAGTCACCTTATTTGGAAGTGGTGAATGAAGTCTGTCTTTCTCATTCTATTTTTATAAAGCACCATGCCCATGTAGCATGCCTCCTTGTCATACCAAGGGGATTGCTTGTATTTTGACACTACTTCCAATAAATGATACTTGGCCACCCACAATGTTGTGTAGGTAAGCATGTATCTGAATAAGGAGTTACAATATACTACTTCATTGCAGGTGAATTCTAGGGCCTTTTTGAAGTACTTCTCTTCCCAGTAAAATAAACTGCCTTTTTGAGCATTGTCATCTTAGCGAGCTGGAAGAATTGCTGATAGAGCTTAAAGAGGGGATGATGACGACACTTACCAAGTATTGTACAAATAATGCTGAGTAGGGCAAAGTTGATGATTGTGTGAAAGGTACTTGAGACTTCACTACTGCTCCTTTTGACTGCTGTGACATTGGAATAAAACCAGTGGGCAGATTGTACAAAATGTGCCTGCCAATTTTTACATGATTGCATGGGTAGGAAAGCACCAAAAAGCTAGCTCACAGAAGCACATAAAAATACTACATGCATTAGTTTCAAGATTTCTCCTATAGAGTGACATCTCATTTTAATGGAATGAAAGTGGGGTGGGGAGGGGATGTGTTATTCTAGGCAATGCCCATTAAATATTAAAGTATGTAATTGCAGAGATTATATCATTAGCATAGCAATGTTATTTGCATCACTATGTCAAGTATGATGCAAAATATTTAGTGACACCATTATATAAGCGACATAAATCACTGCAGATGTTTGCCTGTTGCAGGCCAAGATCACTGTATCAAGGTGTGTTAAATTGTGGTTTCATGGTTTTATGTGTGTCTATAATCTTATGCATGGAAATAAGAATTCATACAATAACTGTCTTTACACTTCCATTACTCTTCTGGAACAACAAATCTTATGGGGAATTACTACTTTGTTATTGTCAAAAAGAAATTTCAACATTGTCAAAAGATGAAGGAAACAAAGTTTATCATAATTAGTATTCTGGGTGAGATTAAACTGACAGAGTGCCCTGGTTGCCAGCCAGAAGTCTTAATTTTCCTGCAATCAACTCCTTCAAATCCTTGATAACAATGGCAACTGAATTTTTCTGCCATTGTTTGAAGGTCAGTTGAAGATGCTACCCCTCTCACAATAACTCCATTCTCTGAAGTTTTGATTTGAAAATTCTGAGGATTTAAATGAAGATAATCCAAAGCTTTCCAATTTCTTCGTATGCACCTTCCATTATTCCGGCACAGATGCTGGCTACACACCTCCGCAGCTTTGGTTACATTGGTGATGTAGGGACCTAAATTAGTAGCAATATATTCCTTCACTTTTGTGCAATTGGCCTGCAAGAAAGAAGAAATATGTGAATCATGGGAAGGCTGTCCAGTGTTGTGTCTATACCATAAATATATATAACAAACATATGTAACCTTACTTTCCAAAGCTTTGAAAGAAAGTTATAGGTTTTTGCCAAATGTTCCTCAAAGCTTCTACTCATAATCTGACCTTGCATAAGGGAGAATGGATAGATAAAAACTGAGTCTACTATATTAAAGAATCTCATGTCAAAAGAAGGACTTTTAGGCAAGTTAAAGATTTTAAAACAATGACTTTAGTTTACCTCTGATGATGTTAAATTCATGTCTCCCCAAATAACAATTCCTGCAGCTCCCAAGGCAGCACTCTCGCCAATTGTGCTGACAAGATCTTGCTACACAGGAAGAAAAGAAAATATTATCAGTCAATTATTGTATATCATCACTGGTGCCATTAAAAAACGGCACATTAACGCATTATTATGAGGCACCCCATTCTGAGCAGCTAAGCTTTCAGAAGAATTAATAACTAACTGCTGCAAATATTCAAAGTTTTAATGTGTTTCATCCTCAGTCAGTTTTATATCTGTAGTAAGGATATTTTGTTATTTCAATTTCAGCATTTCAATTTGAAGATAAGATAGAAGTTCCACCAATGCTTTTTATCATGAATCTAGAAAAATCTTGCTGTTCAAAAATGAGATCAGATATTATTCAACATTAGAATATTGGGGGATGGAATAAAAGTAAAAATACATCTACTTAATTTTTTTTCCCAGACTGTTTCCCTGATATTTTACAATTAGGGCCATTTTCTTGGTGACTGAATTTTAGATGTCTCCTTTAAAATTTTTATCACTATTTTTTTAAAAAATTGTTTATATCATTTATATTTATTTCTGTCCTATTTCTAT